ATACTCTGATTTTTAAATAAGCATAAACAAATCGGTCTTTTCTGGCCGTGAAATTGGGGATGTCACAGTTGGTATTAGAGCATTAGTTTAACCGAACTAGGAATTTTAGGAAATTTCTAGACTTAAACTTAGAATGCTAAGCAATGATTGTGAGATGAGTGTCTGCTATATTTAGGAAGTATGCCTGGATAGACATGAGCACTAGCTTATTTAGGGAAGATGCCTAAATTGTTTTTATGTGCTAAATGATTTATGCTATAAGATGCCTTATATGCTTTATGATGCTATCGTTTGATTGGGTCTATGGCCTATTGCCGACCGAATCTGGAAATTTTATGTGCTCAGGTTTCTAAACGTTTAATTACAATATTAGAACTGGCATGTAACTTTTTGGAATGATAAGGAGATTTAAACGTCTATCGTAAATAAAGCTTTCCCTATCTTAATTCTCGTCACAGCACACCGAAAGTCTAATTTGGTGAATAGATCGACATGGTGAGAACTCGAAGCGGATTAGGAAACGGTAATCAGCAGCCTGAGCCACGAGTAATTGAGCATGCACCAGAGGTAGCAGCTGCACCAGAACCTATCACGTTGGCAACGATACAGGCGATGTTGGATCGTCAGATGGAAGAGACAAGGCATCTAATTCAACAGAATAAGTATGAGCCTATTGTGCCTGCTGTGCAGCTCGAACTGAACGAAGAAATTTCAGAGAAGGGAAATTACAGTCGTACTGTGAGTCAAGTTGAACCCCAAGTGGTAAGGAGGAACGACCTAAACAGAGGGATTGACAAGGATGGCGTATGTAGAATAACTTCTTAGGTGGTAAGCCACCAAGTATTTCTGGAAGCCCGAATCCAGTGGAGATTATGGACTTGATCTCCGAGATGGAAATGGTATTTGAAAGCTGCAACTGCAGCAATAAGCAGAAAACCATCTTTGCAGTCAGACAACTGAAGACCGAGGTTTTAAGTTGTTGGAAGATACAATGCCACAAGGAGAAGCCATGATAATGTCTTAGGAAGAATTCCAGGAGCAGTTGAAAATGCAGTACTGCTCGGAGGTAGATCTGATAGACCTAAACAACGAGTTTTAGAACCTAAAGAAGGGGAAGATGAGTACTGATGAGTACGCCACCGCATTCACCGAGAGGATGAAGTTATTCCCCTACTTGGTGCCTACTGAACTGTCCAAGATAAATAGGTTTGCTAACGGATTGCCAGCGGAATTTGGTGCAACGGTAAAAATGGCAACTACTTTGAAGACAACCGTTAGAGCAACCAAGAATGTGGAGACCCAACTTAGGGAAAAGGGTCTGGAAAAAGATAATGCAAGAGAAACGAGGAAGCTTAAGGGATCCGATAAGATCCGATAAGAAAGGAATATTCTCAAAATCCAACTTAAACGACCAAATGTATGGGGGTAGTGGTAGAGCCAAATGGTGTGAGAAGTGTAAGAAGAGGCACTATGGGAGATGCGACGGAGAAGTGACTTTTTATAAGTGTAGGAGGATCGGTCACTATTCCAAGTATTATACGTTTAATGAGAAGGTATGCTACAGATGTGGAGATAAGGGGCATATGCTAAAAGATTGCCCAAAGAAAAATGAAGCAACAACGTCGAATGCACCGCCAAAGCCAAAGGCGAGAGCATTCCAGATGATCCTTGATGAAGCAGGTGACGATGCAAGGGATTAGGAGTAAGGATCTTTATATCTAAAGATCAAGATATAAAGTAGCCATATAGATAGTATCATGTGGTGTAGCCTAATATAAGAGGCATAGTATAGGGTGAACTTGAATATCTATGTAATCATTTTAAGAAATAATATAAACCTTAGTTATGTTATCCAATGTGTTAAATGACTATGTGAAATTCTTGTATGGTGACTTGGAAAACTAAGAGGCAATTCTTGGGACGAGTATGAGTAGGTGTGAAAGGTAGTAGAGGCCTATACTATCGAAAGCACATGACTCACACTTGGATCATGGAAAGTCACAAGGTTACCAAGGTGCTATTAATTTATTTCGTTTATTCATGTCTGTCGTTACCATCATTTCGGTAATGACTAAGAAGATGATTGCTATTCTGACCCTATTATTGATATCAAATCGAGTCCGGCTAAGAAAAGTATGTTACGTGGTTTAAAGAACCAAGTTCGATGTAGCATCCGACTTGAGCCAGAAGATTGAAGTGAAAGATAATTGAAGTGATCAATAGAAGTATCGCGATCACCGTTAAAGTAAGAAGCTTGTAGCTAGAAGTGCTACATGCTAGAATATGATTATACCACATTAGAACATGAAGGAAGGTATCTTCTATTCTGGAATCTGAGTAAAAAAGACTTGAGTCTAAGCGTTGTATCATACAACGAGAGGTCATTAGAACATGTCCCATCAGTCTGTTACGATAATCGAAGTAAAGACCTTATCTTAAGTTAAATATGTTTAAGAAGAAGCAGGAGTCTCCAATAAGTACTAAGTTTGTAACTCGAAGTCTACGATTGAAAGTCCAATATAGGATAAAGAGCGGGTGCAAGATTGCATACCGCTAGCAGTCAAGGAGTCCTAGAGTTAGATACTCATTTGAAAGGACATAAGAGTTACGATTACCACCTAAGATGGAAAGGAAACGTACAGAGTCATTATACAAGCCTTGTTTTGTTGATGATTCCGGGACATAATCATCCTAAGGGGGAGATAATTGTAACACCAGTAGATTCGGGATAATCAATTAAGATATAATAAGCGTTAAAAATGATTTTTTTATAGAAGATTATCTAGGATAAATAATCTTAACCAAAGTAATAGTTAAGGTCAACAATTGTAACCTATTTGACGTAATAAAGAAGAATTATATGAATATTATGTGTTTCATGATTATTATAATATAATAAAATAGGAAAAATCAGCCGAATCGTCTGTAAATCGTAAAAATAAATGCGCCAAAATATATATATATATATATATATATATATATATATATATATATATAGAGAGAGAGAGAGAGAGAGAGAAAGTACACATTTTCCTGATCCCGAAAATATAAATTTCGTAAAAATCCGACTCTGTATGAATTAGATATGATTTTTATAAGATATAAAAGTCAGTCGCGCCAATGAATGTATGACGTAAAAAGCTACGAAGAGAATGATTGACTTTTAGCTAAAGCCACCAAAAAAAACCGTAGTACTTTTTAAAATAAGAATTTTGAGAAAAAGAATGTCAAACGGAGTCCGTACGAGAGAGTTATGATTTTAGGAAAATCATTTAATTTTATAAAAATATGGACGAAAAATAAAGTCAAAATTAGCTGGCGGAGTCTAAACGAAATTTGTAGATCTCGACGATAGCTATACGTGGATATAAAGAACGTCAAAAACGGAATTCGTATGAATGAGTTATAATTTATAATAGCATATTTACGTATTAAAATAAAGTATAAATCATATATATGTATACACACACACACACATATATATATATATATATATATATATATATATATATATACATACATATGTATATATCATTAGAAATGTATCGACGATGCGATCGTTATAAGACTAGTGTTGAGTACTTTCGACATTAGTTAAATACAAATATCGTTAAATCTATTTAAAATAATATTATAAATGATTGTTTAGTCGCTTAAATAACTATAAGGTCATTTAAGTAACTATAGAGGGTGGTTTTTGAAAATTCAATTACCATAAATAAGAGGCTCTAGGCTCTCATATTTTTTTGCATAATTCTCTTGATTCAAGAGTTTTTCTCTTTTTATCCCCGAGCATTTCGGTCCCTCGTGATTCGACGTAACTTATGTTTAAATTCATTATCGTTATTGTGAACCTATAAACAAGATTTATTAGTTATTCCAAGTCGTTATACTGATTGATCTACTTACGGGGATGATGTCGAGACTGGATTTAGTGAGGTTTTTAAAGTGAGATTTCCAAACAGTATACTTTGTATACCAAACAGGCCCTACCTCCGATATGATCTTACCTGGTTGTCTCTTATCAGTTATAGATTAATAGACTTTAAATTAATGATGAATCTAGACTAATTAGTCGCAATAAATATTAGTAGACTTAGTAATTGACATCCGTAACAAAATTTTACTATAATATTCTTAATGCAGATACACATTCAATCTTCCTAAAGCACATAAAACATTTAATTTTAGCACAAACTCATTCACCTTAAATGATAAGCAAATTATCCATACTCACGATATGGGACTTGACAAATACGGTCCGGTCCCAAACGGATAACAAACCTCCTTATTTACCTTGTGTCGTGGTAGAGGCAAAATTAAATTAATGGTTACCACATACACTTAGGCCCTAACGTGTAACGAATTAAATTATATAATTTTTTTTTAAACGACAATAAACTTTATAGCAGTAAGCATAACAAACTTTATATCAGGATCCTGGACTATCACTTTGGGTCCGAATATAATATATATAAAAAAATTTGGCCTTGTGTGTAAATGCCCACTTTGACCCCTTCAAAACCGGCTCTGACACTTATAACCTTGAAAACATCCATTTTAGTCTGGTGAATTATCTTGGAAACCCAACAAATAATAATAATACAAAGCTACCATGCAAAAAAATGAAAATATAAAATGATGCCCTATCTCTCGTACTAAATCAATATATACACCACTTGACCAAAGATACTTGCATATAACATTCTTAGCTGCTTTTTGGTTTGCAAAATGTTGTCGAAAGAATTTGAATTGGAATTGAAAAAGAAATTTGTCAGGATTTTAAATCCAATTTTATATGATGTTTGATCAGAGTAAATAGAATTGAAATTAGTTTTGGTTGGCAAAATTTGTATCTAACAAACGCATAATTTGAAACCTCAACTTCTAAAAAAAGGTTCCTCTAAATCTTAGATCCTCATTGGGACCAAACCAGGTTCACTTTTTCCCACTACCAAACACCACCACCCTACCCCACTCTGGGTGCGCACCACGCACATATGCGCACCTTCGCTTCCCTTTTATCACATGAACAAAAAGCAACTTCTTTTCCACAGACCTCAAATCTCCAAATTCAGTCCAAACCTGTTATAATCACTTGTACAATATGTAGTAACAGTTGTATAATGTTCTGAACTAGGAAATCTTTGCTCTGTAACAAAGGTCTAACCTAAATTAAACCTTAAAGCTTCACTTAGAACTTTCACTACGCAATCATTACATGATTATATTTTATTTGTTAAACAAATACATATCGATATATCTGGTCGGCGATTTGCCGCTATCATAATTTCTTCCACCTCCTCCGTCTTCAGCGGCCGGAATCCCACGGTGTTTCCCTTTTCTGGTTTCAAGTTTATCAAAATCCTAGTCTTTAATCTTGGTATACATATCAAGCAATACTCAGTTTGGTTAGTTTTTAAGGGGAAATGTAATCTTTTTTACCTTCCCATTTTTCAAGATTTACAAAAAGTTACTCCATTAACTGATACCCGAAGCAAACCAAAAGGAATCCACCGGCTGATTTGAGATCTAGTTGATGTTCAATTGCTGCAGAATGCGGATCTAAGTAAGTTTTACTTCAATTTCGTGTTTTTCTACCGCTAATTGTAAAACGGTTGAAATTTAGGGTTTTTAATTGTATAAAGGTTTGATCTTTTAGCTCACTTGAGCTGCGATCGCAGTGTAAGGTAATGGTTGAGCTCGGATTTTCATGGGTTCTTGTTTAGACGAACTGGGTTATTCGTTTAACCAACAATTTCTTACCAGATTGAATCTTGTTGACTGATTATGAACATTCTAACTCGTGATTGTGTTTAATTGTTGAAATTCGGTTGCGAACTTGTAATCAATCTTACTGTTATCTGTAAATTCAACTTCTGTCGTGGATCAAACATGCGATTAAGTAGTTATTGACTCAAGCTTGAGTTATCACAAGGTCTCCCAATTCATGGATTTTGTGTAATTACACTAATTAAAGTTCTATAGAGGACGACTCAAATGTCTAAATTGTTATCATATGCTCAGAATGTGATTTTCAAATTAGTAACATTTTGGATTTGGTTTATTATTTTACAGGATCTGGTTCGAGTCTTAAACCATTGAAATGGAACAAAATGTAGAAGAAGCTCGTAGAGCTAAAGAGAATGCAGAAAAGCTATTCGCCATGAAAGACTTTGCGGGTGCAAAATGGTCTGCATTAAAGGCTCAAGCTTTTTGCCCCCAACTTGAAGGTATCGCTCAAATGGTGGCCACTTTTGAAATACACGCAGCTTCCAACACCAAAATAAACGGAGAAATCGACCTTTATTCAATTCTTGGATTAAACCCATCTGCAGACAAATCCACACTGAAAAAACAGTACAAAAAGATGGCTGTCCTTTTACACCCAGACAAGAACAAAACCATTGGAGCCGATGAAGCCTTCAAGCTCGTTTCAGAAGCATGGACTGTGTTGTCGGATAATACAAAAAGAAACATATATGATCTGAGAAGAAACAAGAACTTATTAGCCATGGTTGCACCTCCTAGACTTGACACGTTTTGGACTGTGTGCACATCGTGTCGAGTCCAATATGAATATCTTCGAAAGTATGTGAACAAAAGATTATCATGTAAGAACTGTCGTGGGGTTTTCGTCGCCGTTGAAACGGGGGCTGTTCCAGTTACGTATTGCCCATGGTCGTATACTGTAGATAACGGGTTAGCAAGCCATACACACGGGTCGGATTTGGGCTTTCATTCTGGATATGGGCCCGAGTTCACCAACAATGTCTCGTTTCAGTGGAACACTTGTTCGATTTCAGATCCTAACGGGTTCTCCTACAATTCCGTGAACACTGTTCATAACGCTAACGGAAAAGTCGCTGGAGCAAAAGTGAACGGAAATGTTGAAATTCCGATTGGTAAGGTTGGTAGAGCTCCGAAGAAACGAAAGAATGAAGTGGGTGATGGGAATGGTGAAATGGGTTCATTTACAGAACCAGATGCGGTGGTTGCTGCCACGTGTTTTGACGCTAGAAAGATGTTGATTGATAAAGCAAGATCCGTGATTCGTGTCAAATTGGAAGAGATGAAGTTGGATTTAAAAGCTGAAAAGAATGGGAAATTAACGAAGAGAACTATAGTAGTACCCGACCCGGATTTCCATGATTTTGACATGGATAGATCAGAGGAGGTGTTCAAAGCGAAGCAGATATGGGCGATTTATGATGAAGAAGATGGAATGCCTCGGCTTTACTGTTTGATTCGCCAGGTTTTGTCTGTGAAACCGTTTAGGGTTTATATCAGTTACTTGAATTCAAAAACGGATTCCGAATTTGGTTGTTGTAAATGGATTGAATCTGGATTCACCAAATCGTGTGGAAATTTTAGGGTTTTTCATTCTGATGTTGTTGACCATGTCAACATTTTTTCTCATCTTTTGGGGAGAGAGAAGGCTGGGAGAGGTGGTTGTGTTAGGATATACCCGAAATCCGGCGACATATGGGCGGTGTACCGGAACTGGTCGGAAAATTGGAACCGGAAAACACCAAAAGAGGTGGTGCACCAGTACGAAATGGTGGTGGTTCTTGGTGATTATTCTGACGAACGTGGTGTTTGTGTGGCGGATCTGGTGAAGTTAGAAGGGTACAAAACGGTGTACAGGCGGAACCCTAATGAGAATTTGGTTCGGTGGATTTCAAAGAGAGAAATGTTGCGGTTTTCACATCAGGTTCCATCTTGTTTGTTACAAGGTGAAGGTTTGAATTTTCCAGATGGGTGTTGGGATCTTGACCCTGCTGCAACACCGGAAGAGCTGCTTCAGGCGGCAATGGAGGAATCGGCCGCCACCCTGGCGGCTGTGAATGGTGGTGGAGGTGGCTGAAGAGGGTGGTTAGGATATTTATTCTGACAAGTTGTGAGATTGATAATGTACAGATGATCTAAACACATATAGTGATCAATGAGGGAGAATTGGTAAAAGAATTTAGATATAGGTGCAAGCTCACATTTGTTTTTAGAGGGCTTAATTTGTATCATCTTTAAACTTCCTATGAGAACCTTTTAAAATTAACATGCAACTTTGGGAGTCACTTTCCCAACCATCTACAAGAAATATTCTAGTCTTTCTTCCTAGTTGTTAAGGTCCAAATGCATCCTACATATATTTAAGAGGGTTCAAATATTGTGAATATTACCACTGACAATCTCAACTTCTATACTTTATTAAGTAGCTTTGGTGGAGTGATTCTAACTAGATATTGAGCTATGTAAGGGGTTAATTTAGTGCGAATGATCCTAGTAGTAGAAGAAAGAAATCGTGTACTATAGTTTGAGTTCACCCTTTAAAAACCTCATTGTTGATCGGTGTCGGAAATCGAATCCAACATGCTAAAGTAATTCTAACAAAGTCGACAAGCCTTATTGAGGAAACCCACCATACATCCCCATTTTTTAATATTTACTTTATGCATTTACAAGTATTTTGTATTTTGTAATTGTGATTAGTATAGATGTAATCACTTTGTTGTTTACTTTCCGATAGTAAATATTATGGTTATTTGTATTTTATAAACCAAGTTATTTGTACTAGAAACTTACACACAACTGGTAAAAAAGATTCCAGGCCATAGTCTTATATGAGTAAGATGATATGGTGTGCATGCGTAAACTAGTTTGATCATGAACACGGAAAATGACAAGAGCCAAAGAGTCTTGTCCTCTTGGGGGTCAAGGGGAAGAGCCGCGAAACTTGAACATATTTTCACACTATAAATGTAGTGGAAAAACCTAGACATAAATCAAAAAAACCTAAACAAATGGTTAACTGTTGATGGGGTGGGTCATCTTCGCCAATTTTAACTTACTGATTTAACTTAATTGTCAGATATAGTTGTCTAAAAAAGTTTCTAAAATTATTTTCCAACCATGGTAAAATTGTCATGATCTTTATACATCTATGGATAATTACAAGTAGACATATAATAGCCTTCAATATTTACCAAACTCAAGAAGTATTTATTAAACCACACAACCTACACTCATATAAAGCCGTTTAAACTTTTAGGTACTTTTTTTTTCTTGCAAAACGTACAATTTCCACTCTCTTCAAGTTGTCATAAAACCCAAAAATATGTTATAAAAATGTAACAAGCATATCCTCATGTTCGCACAGAGGATTAATCGTGGTGCGCGTAAGCCGGTCAGGACACCCTTATTAGAGGACACCCTTCTTTCAAAAAGGGTAACCAACTCTATTTTACTTTGTCGATATTCAACTATTCTATCAGGTATAAGAAGCAATATATTACATTTACATTTTTGACCCACCTTTAAATTTTATTACGAACTTAGTAAAAAACTATAAATTTTGTTATAGATATTGTCCAAAAAAATGTTAAAAAGTCTACCAAAAATTAGTTTTTTTACAACTTTTTTTTATAGTTTTTTACAACTTTTTTTTATAGTTATTTTACACTTTTTTTACTAATATTTCTTTTAATAGTTTTCCAACTTTTTTTTAAGACTTTTTACAAATTTTTAAACTTTTATAACAACATTTTAAATTTGTTTTAAAATTTTCCTAAAAAAAATTATACTCTCAAGCAACTTTTTTTTTTTTTTATAATTTTGTATATACCTTTTTTCGCAAAATAATAATAACAACAATAATAAACGAAAGTATTTTTAAATATACTAAAACAATATAAATACTTTTGTTTATACTTTTTCACATAAATTTAAAAAAGTGTATAAAATTGTAAAAGAAAAAATGAAAGTAGTTATATTGTTTTACTACTTTTAGAAATACATTCGTTTTAAAAAATTATTGTAACATCCCGAAAATCATAAGTAAAAGTTTCATTTTTAAACCAACCAAAATCCATAAAATCAAACCATCAAGTATGCTAATGTAAAAATAGTTATCAGAATACAAATCCCAAAATCATAAAAATTACGGAAACACGGGTGGATGCGTTGTGGTCAGGACAGACCCTTCCCTTTCAAACTGAAAGTACCTGAAACATAAAAATAAATCGTAATCATAAAGCTTAGTGAGTTCCCCCAAATACCACATACCATACATCAATCATACATATCATACTGACACATGTAACATGTCTATTTCACCCCTGAGTCCCTTCCGACTCCTTGAGTCCCTTCCGACTCCTTCGGTATCTTTCAACCGATACACGTCTGTTTCACCCCTACAACTACGCATACAGTCATACTAGCAAGAGTCACAAAGACAACAAGCATATACAAACATATCAGTAAGTGTCACAAAGATCACTACTATCCTAGAGCATAATCCAGTAGGCCGACATTAGTGCCTTCGACCCACAAGTACAGTGAGGAAACTCACCTCAATCTGAAGATGCATAAATCACACTCTCGGGCTACTGCTACCACGGTTCCTCACACTGGACACAATCAAACCAACCATAATAACTATTTAGGGTAATAATCCACAACTGAAGGTCCAAATCATAATCCCTATCACAAAGGGTAAAGGACCCTTTTACCCTTCCTACGCTAGGCCCTACAAGCCATGACCCAAGGCCCAAAATGACCCAAATGGGCTTCAGGTGAGTACGATGTGCGTACACGATGCCTACACCCATCATACTAGATCTAATTTGAAAGGGAACATGGCCTCAGCCTGTTACGTCGTGCGTAACAGGAGGGTACGCCCAACGTACTCATCAGATGTCCAAAACTTGACTTTAAGCACTTAATGCTTTAAGACCAATCATCCAAATCATAGATCTTGCTCTTGGGGATGTATTAAATGATAAAGTCGACAACTTGATGCCTTTGCATCGCTCAATAAGGAACAAATCCAAACCCTAAGTTCAAAGTATACTTTATTGTCCAAGATCTCATGCATGGATGAATGGGGGTGTCCAGGCCCCCAAATTTATGACTTTATAAGCTCAAAATGATCAGAAATGACACTCAAAACGATTTAGAACAACCCAAGTCTCAAAAGTCCAAATCTTGGGACCAAAAACACAACATAACATGGTCCAAATCTAGATCTAGAAAAAGAAGCATAAATGTACAAGCTTTATACCTCCACAAGCTTGAAAGGATGATGGAAGTTATGGATCT